GCAAAAAATTATTTGCTTACATCACTAATACAATTTTCAACACACATTTTTATCTTTTCAATTATCATTTTATCTCGCATACATCACATCACAAAAAGTGTTACAGTAATTATATCAAATAATCTCCTATCCAAAAGCGGTTTTACGTCAAGCATTGCACTACGTACGTAATGTCTCCGGTAGCCCGTAATAGAATCTCTTCCGATGGCCTTCACCGGACTCTCTAATCTAGACTTCATTATTTTTGTGTTTTCAGATGAGAAATGGGCTAATATTTGGTAAGGAAGAGGATATTTTCTGGCTTTCACATGACTGTTGTCTTACGTATTTAAAATTCGTGATAAAGTGACTGATAAAGAAAGCGATAGGAGGAAAAAAAAGGTGATAAGTTCGCTTGCCATGGAATTAAAGATTGAAACATGAATCTCGCTCGAAATTTAACAATTACTTGAAAAATGTAAAGATTGCCAGAAAGGTGAACTCTGTTTAATCCAGGGACAGTGATGCTTAGAATATTTTAAATGGACGATGTAGATTGAACCGAGATCGATGGATCGATCCGGACCGTGGACTCTGACACCGGCGCGAGCGAGTAATGCGTCATTAAACTTACCGGTCCTTCCAGTTCTCCCGAAGGCGGCGGCTAACCTTCTCAGCATGTCTTGAACATTAGTTGAAACTTGAAAGCAAAGCAACGATGACAATCCAGTAACAGTAACCCCCAACAAGACATCTCCGACGTGAACGGAAGTGGTCAAATTCTGAATTTAACGTTGATATTCTTTTGCCAATCATTGTCAAAATTGTGAATATTACCCTCCACCAATTATTCTTAGTCGTTAGCTAAGGTTGTACGAAGAGGCCTCATAAATTGTTACGTGTGCAGTCCTGCGCCCTTTAAGCCAAGAGATACGCTGCTTGCTAGTCACCACTCACCATTGTGCTGCTAACCAACAAGTCTTCGAGTCACCCATGGTTGGTGTGGTACAAGAATTTGCCAGAAATGGTTTGAATTGCAGAATTATTGGAGAAAACCTTTTTGGAGTTTCTGAGAAGAAATATTTGCTAACACATTTCTCAACAAGCTTTAAGCTCACATGCATTTCATCTCCCCCCAAAAAAAAAATTGTGTGTTACAGTATTATTTTTCTGCAAAAACCCTAAAAACAAAATGCAATCCAATCATAACTCTGGGAAGTGATTAAGAATTATAGTGGTTTTTAGCATAACTTGGGATATATATATATATATATATATATATGTAGCTACTCCATCCATATATCTCTAAGCCTGCATTGCTTGACCGGACACCAGTATATGGGGAGCGTACGGCCGCTAATTCGATGCGTTTGTTACAATAGCCCCTGAGAAGTGTTTCTATCTATAGAAATTACTTTTAATGGATACCATCGGATCAATCTGAAGCTGCCAACTTGTCAAAGGCAATTCTCTTCGTGCGCTGATGAAGTAGGGACATTGAATACTAGTCATGAAAAGTCTTTTTTTTTTTTTTTTTTTAAAGTTTTCAAGTACTGCAAAATTGAAGAAGAAAAATGGGTGCAGAGGATGGATGCAGTTGCAGTCATTTTGGAGAAAGACCACATCTACAGGTGACATTAATAGCTACGCTGGTTTTAAATTTTATTCCTATGCTACTTTGACTAAGGATTGATGCATGCAGCTTTGACGCAACGTAGAAACTAGAAACTAGAAAGCAATTGGGATTGAGAAATAAACTAGAAAGTACTGGGCTGCTGCTTCTGCTGTCGCCGTTAGGGGCGGCTACGTTATTTTATGGCTCAAAATTCATGAAGTGCACGCCCTTGACCATCAAATAATTAAAAGGATACTGGAATAGTCCATTGTTTCCGTCCAGTCACTCACTTGCGTAACTGCAATCTTCTCCAAATTCACAGTAACTTGTAAGATACTTACAAGACCGAGAGGGACAAGCTGCATTAAGATTTTGATGCAGTTGTGTTGTATTTTTTTTTTTTTTTTACACAATTTAGTATATTATCATATAATTGTTTTGTACGCATAAAATTTATTTTTGTACACCAAATCAACATATAAATATAATTTTATCCATAATTATACACTACAATTTGAATAATATATAAGAATAATTATAAAGGTCACGGCTTGAAAGAAAAATGGAATATGAGATCGATAAATCATAGTATATGAAGTGAAGGTCAACAACCAACAAGGTGCACTGCAGACCAATTATTACGAACTTGAAAGCGACTCTCGTACATAATCACCAACTACTCTTCTACGTATTATTATATCATCCATCCCTCCAAAGGAAAAGTCTACAAACTGCTCTTCTTATTTTCTTCCCTATTGAAAACCTTTCTCCGTCCTTGCAATCATAAGAAGGAAGGAAAATCCGGTCGACATTGAACAAAAACCCAAAAAAGAAAAGCTAAAAAACCATTACTCTTCCACTGGAAAAATAAAAGATGCATTAACATAAACAAATAAGGGTCAACTAGAAACTCAAAGAAGCAGGACGAGGGATTGGTGTTAGAGCATTCGACAAAGTAATTAACAAAGTTCAATACTGTATATTGAAGTTGGAGTGCAGCACTGTATAGGAAGCGTGGCCAACGTTCTTTTTATTTCTTATGTGTTATCCTACATTCCAAAATGACTGAAGGAGACAGCTAATCTCTTTTTGCTTTGAGAATAGGGGGAAAAAAATAGGAAAGGAAAGGGAAGTTGTTTTGCTTTCCAGTTAACCTAAATCGTTGAGTTCTGATTTGAGGTGGGAGAGATGGACGATGTGTACTCGGGCAAGAAATCGGTGATTGCGACCAAATGTTGATTATTTAGCTACTTGACCCTATCATTTTTAATTTACTTTTGTGGTTCAAAGAGCAAATGCACAGGCGACGGGCCATAGTTCTTAAAAAGTCCGGCACAGGTCCACCCAACAGGCCGAGATTCTCCAAACAAATCAGATGGGTTCCTTTCCATTTTATTTATTTTTGCTCCAAGGTGGGCCTAAGGCCCAATTATAAAGAGACCAAGGGTTAGACATTGCCCAAACATCTTGTACGCTCTTCTGTCATATGCCCGTTTATTTCCCAATCAGACATGGCGAGTCATGAAGGTCCTCAGGAGGAGTATCATTGTGTATTAGCTTAACCAATACAAGTTGACTCGATTGATAAAAACAGTCACTTTTTCACCAAAATTGGGGTGTTTGATTGAAGTTGGTTCCTGACGTGGATGTTGTGTTAATGGATCATCTGTAAAAACCTCTGTAAATCACCTATGGTCCTAGAGTTATGCCGATAATAATCGGAATCGAATCCCAAAGCTTTTCTTGCCAAAATTAAAAAAAAAAAAAGAAAAACGTGTATTAAGTTAAACACGGGCCCTTCATCCTGTCTGGCCAACTAACGGAATAAGATCATTGAGTAGCACATGGTGTATGCAATTCAACAATAAATCATCTTCCGTGCAACCATGGGCTTAGCTTACCCATTATCATAGGACTTGGGATGATAGATCCAATCTTCTTGAACGGATCGTCTACGGAAGGTCAACGAACTTTGCAGGCAAAACAAGTCTACCATTGGCGACTAATGCTTGCAGGTTAAACGCAATATGTGCAACGCCCAAACTCATCAAGCTGCATAACATTATGAAACATTAACATGAGATCTACAGAACGTCAAAACAGCCAAAAAAAACAGCAGTGCTACTTGCTTTTTAATATGGTCCAATATGTTGCAAAAACAGTGTACTATTTGCAAATTCCAATTTATCTCGTCATGTTTTCCTAAGAATAAAATAAGAAATCGGGATGGGAAGGAGAAAAAGCAAAAGAATTGAAAGTTCAAAAAAATGGTATTTTGGGGAAAGATTTTGAATATTTTGTGATCATTTGAAGAGGAGATAGGTCTCTGCAATTCTTATTTTCTAGTTTCAATCACTGAAATGAAATTCTTATGGAAAAAAAAAAAAAGAGGAAGAAGTGAGAAAAGAAAAAAGAGACAAAGAAAATAGAGGGAAAAAGAGGGAAGAAAAAAAAAAGAAATCAGAATAATGGAGGCATAAGTTTATCCAATAGGGGATAAAGCGAGACCAAAGAAAATGTCAGGGAATAAAATGAGAAAAAGGATATACCTTAAAGAGAATTAATTGTGATTAACCCTTCCCATATATACGACTCAATGACCGTAGTTAGATATCCTGTTAGCTCAATCCTTTTTTGAGTTTATTATAGATTTTCCTTACACAGGTTTATTGGACATCCATCATTATAATTATATTACACGTAACTTATCATGTGAATATATATTATCATAATTATTACTTTTTTTTACATTTAGATACTTTCTCAAATTAACTATACTTTTTTAAAAAAGGAAAAAACTAAAACTTGTAACCTCTCTTAATAAGCATAAGATAGCCTAATCATTTTATTTATTTTGTCATGAAAAAATAAATAAAAGAAAAGAAAAGATAAATGGATTTTTTTTTTAAAAAAAAAAACAAAGAAAGGAGAAAGTGAGGTTACATCACGTCTGACTTAAAAAATATGGACGGCCACGATTAATGCGTCATGCGTAGCACAAATCAGCAGTTGAAGAGTTGAAAGGAAAGTACTTGCGAGTCTTTTCTTTTGTCGAATCTTACACACACCGAAGATCTTCTTCATACCTAAACGCACTTCTGACTGACTGGAGAATCCCGCAGGTGAAGCAACCCCCACCCAATCCAAACCCAAACCAAAACCAGATAAAATATCTTCTCCTATTATACCCTACTCGAAACACAATCCAACCCATTTTGTGTCCTCCTCTTCTTCCGTACTCTCTTTTCTCTTTCATGATTCCAGGGCCTTGGTTCATTCCAGGCTACATCTGATTGGATTGATTCCACCGCCGACATTTTTTCACAAATTTTTTTCCACAGTTCCTTGGACATAAAAATGTCCAAGAAATTCCAGGTATCTTAGGACGAGCTATTTCTGGCAAGTTTTTCTTTTCTTTGTGATGTATGTTTTAATTCTTCTTCTGATCTTTTCTGAAGTCATGGATGTATGTTTTAGGAGTCTATACTCTATAGTTCTTGAGTTTTCCAGTGTGTGTGTGTGTGTGTATATATATATGTATCCTCGTACCTTTGAATTTTCCAGCTAGCACTCAGTCCTTGGGCATAGGTACCGTAATTTTTTGTCCGAGCATCTCTGTCGGTTTGTAATGCTAATCGTCATCATAGATTCCATAGGCTTCCGACTTTTGGCCTATTCATTATTTTTCCATCTGCACTTTATTCCTTGATCTCTTTCTTCGTGGTTGTCTTCCCCTTGTCTCATCTTTTCAACAGATTTTTCATCAGCTGGGCTTCAATTTTTCAGTAGTTACATTTTTCCCCTCATTCAACTTTAAGAACAGCAATTCCTTCAATAAAAAGAAATATATATTAAGGACAGCGAGATTGGATTGTTTTGCAGGATAGTTATTCCTTTGACTTTTTGCGTGCTAGTATATTTTACGGTTCTTTCATGGGGTAAGTGGATTTTGTGGTCAATCGGAGTTTTTAAGATTCACATTCAAAAGTCAAAGGAATATCTTTGCTTTGTATTTGCAGAACCCAGAAAGTGAAAAAAGGATGCTCTTTTATGGCACATGAAGATATCAATCTTTTTGCGTCACAACAGAGCAAGTGATTGAAGTTTCTGCAGTTTCTTTCTGGATTGTTGTCTCAGATTTTCTTAGAATCGACATCTTGTTGTTGGGTTCTGAGAAAGATTGGATTTTTTATCGCAGCGCTGGTGGTAAATTGTGATTCATTTGTTTAATTACACAGATGGAAGATGATGATATATTTTCTGGGATTGGTATTGGAGCGCAAGTCGATGGCAAAGTAGTTCAAACATTTCAGAAGAGCTTCTTGCAAGTGCAAAATATTCTGGACCAAAACAGGCTGCTTATCAATGAGATCAATCAGAATCATGAATCAAAGATCCCAGATCACTTGACCAGAAATGTGGGCCTAATTAGAGAGCTCAATAACAACATTAGGAGGGTGGTTGATCTTTATGCTGATCTTTCGAATTCTTTTGCCAAAACCATGGAGGTGTCTTCAGAAGACTCAGCTGGGACTACTAAATCGGATGGAAGAGGAGGCCAGAAGAGATTTAAATCCAGCTAACTCGATTCCAATTCATGAAAATCAAGATGGGATCTTCAATCCCTCTCCTCTCCACTCTACTTCTTAAATTTTACCCCCTATCTTACTGGAAAAAAAAAAATCAAAACAAAGGGGATCTTCAATCTTTTTTTTTATTGTTTTTTTTTTCTTAGCTTGCCATAATTTCATCAGATATATCTCTAATGCACTTTAGTGGATCTTCATTTTTCTCTTCATATCTTTCTTTATTTTTTTGGGGTGGTTCTGCAGATTTGTAGATTTTGTTGACCTTGACTTTTTTCTCTCCAACTCCCTCATAAAAAAAAAAAAAAAAAAATTACTACTAATACCGTCGTGCATCTCTCCCAGCTGTAATCATTTGCTTATCTGACTGGAACAAGTGTTCGTGTGTTATTCATTCCAAAAAATCTTCAGCTTTCTCATCGAGTCGTGAGATGTACTGGTTAACCACCAAATCTTTCATAAAGTTGTCAACTTTGGATAATCCTCAGCCTGATTTCTCAAATGCTACAAATTGGAGTAATCACGGTTTGTCAAATGAGTTTTTTTTTATGTTTATTTAAAATTTTATTATTGTTTTACGAAAAAAAGTTACAGAAAGAAATTTTAAATTAAAAATATTTTTTCTTTTCTTTTTTCTTTTCTTTTCCCTCTTTTTCTTCTTCCTTCCCCAGCCACCTCTCCCTCCCGGCAAAAGTTGTAGCTGCAAAAAAAATTTTTTCTTTGCTTTTTTATATCCCCCTCTCCCCCCCCCCCTCCTCTCGATGTAATCTGGTTACACGACCAAATCGGGCAGAGGGGGAGGGGAGGAGAGAGAAAAAAAAAGTAGCTGGCAACGAAGATAGCTGTGGGTTGAGGTGGCGGGTTGTGGTCGACATCGGAGATAGTGGTGAGTTGAGGTGAAAGAAGAATGGAAGAAGGAAATTTTTTGTTTGTATTTTGGGTATTTTAAAATATGTAGTTTAAAAATTTTGAAAAATTATAGTTAAAGTTATTAAAAACCTATTCGAAAACAAATTTGACAAAAATTTGTTTGGATATTGAGATGTATTTGAAATAATTACTATAATATTTTTTGTGATGTGATGTATATGAGATTAAAAAATAATTGAATATAAAAAAGAAGAAATGTATTTATGATTCAAGTGAAATTATTTGAGATATTTTTGCTATCCAAACACTACCTCACTTTGCCAAATAGGGCCTAGGTTCTCCAACTTTCTCCTTTGCGATTTCAAACTGTAATTAGAGGAAGATTTATGGTTTCATCCCACTTTCCACCGTACAAGGTTTTTGAGGAAGGGTTCTTGCATCACCATTTTTATGAATCATCGAATCTTTTAGTTTCATGCGCACACAGAAAAACTTCCAAGGGCCCTCCTTAGTCCTTTGTCCTTATTCTTCTTGATGTCTGTCAAAAGATATTCCTATCGGAGATACCTTTTTCAAAATCTTTTCCAAAATCTCCTATACTTATGCCATTCTATTCTATTTTTTTCGCTTGAGATTATTCGGACCTTTCAATTAGATAAATTCCCTAAAATCGTGTAGAGTCTTATTGAAAAGATACACAGTGAGGTAGTGTTGGTTCTGAGTTAAAATAATCATATAATTAACAATAATTTCTCCAATTAACAAAGAAATTCACAAAAATCTCATACCTCAATATTGCACTAATAAATGTAGATAATTCTTATCATCAAAAGTTAATTTGGCGTGAGTTGAGATGCGGATTAAGTTTTAAAATTATTAGAGGAGAGTACACGAACAATTTCTGATCTTCAAACTAACCATCTTGAATTTGACAGTTATTAAGAAGTTCGGTAGGGTTGACTAGTACAGAATGCTCTTTTTAAAACGATACGCCTCCCTACTGTATTTTTTTAACCGATGCAAAAGGTCTATTGTGCCGTCTTCAAGATACAACAACCCTATTCTGTAGTTGTTGCTTCACTTTGATCTGCACAATCAAGAAAGCCAGAAACTTTCTAATATCTTACTTTGCCCAAAGAAAATCAGAATAAGGGAGAAAGAAATGAGTGTAGGGAAAAATAGTATTTAGAATAATCTTTTGTTGTTGAGAGAAGTGTGTATATAAAAAATTTCTCCAGAAATTTCACTATATATAGGCTATACAAACCTTTAGAAAATAGGTCGAATGTCCAATTTCAATGTATAACGGTTTTTGCATACTAAATTGTAGTTAATTTGTAGGATTTGTAACCTAAAAATTGATTCATATTTGAATGCCTTATAAAGACTCAATAATTCTTTATTTGATCAAATAATTCATTTGTAACTCTTATTCAAATAATTGTATAATAACTCCATTTAAAATGTATTGTAACTCCTAACATTATAATTTCCTCAACTCCTAAATAAATTATTATAACTCCTTGTAAAGTCTTGGTCAAGGAAAATTTAAGATTTTATTAAAATATACAAACAGACACATGAGGTGGATGGATCACAGGACCTACTAATAAAGACTACCTACGAGGCGTTATTCTATTCTATCGATGCCTAATTTGTTCTGCTGACTTTATTTTGTAACCCATTATACGTGAGATAAACGGGATACCAAGAATTTATAAAACATCTTTTCTCTTTGTTTGTATTGCAAGATTTCAGACTAGGAGAGGAATATGTTTGGAATTTAAACAGCATTTTTCGGCTAAACAGACTGAAATTCGTGTTTTGATTAAAAAAAAAACAAATAAAAAATATTTTGTCCAGACTCAATTTCATCTGACGTTCACGCTCCTAAGGGTTTGATAGAGTTTATTATTCATGAAGTCAAAATGTTTTTTTTTATTTTTTGGCTCTTTGATCTCAAACTCTTTAGCCTTCCTCCAAGTACAAAATACAAATTACTGCTGTTATCTTACATCGCCAGTCGCATAATTGGATCCTTCCTTTCCTCCCAACTGACATGATCTCTACTTCCTCTCTTGAAGGATGCTAAATACTGTATCCCATGACCCTCTTTACCATTGGTACCATGTTAAAACTAGTAGCATCTTCATTTCGGTCACTTTTTTTTTTTTTGGAAGCAAGAACTGGTACTTTTTAAGTTGGAAAGCATTTACAAAACGAAAGGATCGCGTTGGGTGATTTGAGCATTACATTATTGCCAATAGCCACAACTTTATTTGGTTGTTTGACCAAAACACCTAAAAGCAGCTTTGGTTCTCTCCAACCACAAGACTCAAGACTACAGTTTAATTAGCCTTTTTGGCTTGACTCCTGTTTTGTCCCAACTAATGGGCATCTTTTTAGATTGAGCTATTATCTTGTAATTCTCAGGAAAGTCCATTAACAAGATTCCAGACAAAAGTTGATTGGATTGGATACATTAGGGTAGTTTAAAAGTTAATGGAGGTGTGATGTTTTAACCAGACAGAAAAGAGTAGGTTATGCATCTGGTCATCAATATTGGAATCATTCTCCCCCAAATTTCTTTTCACCTCCCGCAGGTACTTGCTTGTAAGACCAAGAAATGCCAGTGCGCTTCACTATTGTACCTTACGGTTAAAACCTTCCTTAACCTTAATCAGAGCCAGAAGCAAGAAGTGCCACTTTTTTTGGCCCCATAAACTTTTTTGTAAAATAATTACGACCCCAAGACTATTAAGGTCTCTCTCTAAAGGTCACAGGTGATTTCAAATTATCAGTTCCACTGAAGCCTGTATATGTGCTTGTGTATTTCTTCTTCATAATGTATGTTTCAGTCGCGGAAAGAAGGCGTGCATAAGCAGAACGCCAGCAAAATCTAAAGAACTCCCTGGACCACAGAAGTTTGCAAGAGTTTTAAATCCACAACGAGAAGCTTTAGCAATAAATGGAAATCGTGATCTTGTAGTAGCAATAACTTTCCTGATGCCTGTATTTGCTCATTGTATGGCTAAACACCTGTTGCTTACCACGATGAAGAGGAAGTCTCACCAAACATCTTGATGGACAAATCTAAGAAGAAAGCTACTACCCTGATTTCTCCATCAATGCAGCAAAGCGCTTTTTCCAATCTGAGACAGCCTCTTCACCATTAACCACCTGTTGCAAAACAAAGTGAAAGCAACAGGTGACTTGACAGTTTGACCATAGGATAAGTGAGATTAAGAAAAAACAGTCATTAGCTACCCAAGAATTTGCAAACACTTGGGATGCTAAGATTCTACTGAGTAGGTGCCGATACTATGCGGTACTTATAGCTGTTTTCACGTTTTCTGTACGCCGCGACATCTCAATTTACCCTAAAAGGCTAAAACATTCAATCCCTAGAGTATTTTCAAGTAGCAATAGCTAACCAACCTCATATATCAGTCCTGTTCTCCGGTTCCCTTGAAACAGATAGGTATTGGATAGATGATGCTACAGACTCTAAATGGATTCTTTTTGCTGGATGTAGGTTGAAGCATCACGTAGCATACCCTTACTAACCACGCGCTAGTTACTCTTTCCTTAAAGCTCCTAGCCTCAGTTCTACAAATTTTGATCGGAAGTGGGATTATTTATATATCGACAGACAAGAGCTTACTATTGTACAACCCCTAAACCACTTTTATTCAAAATAAAATAACTTTGCCAAACCTCAAATATGAATCCTTTCCCTGGGACTGCATCAAGAGCTTCTGCACAGATGAAGGCAGCATCCTCCTTGCTAAGGCTTCCTTGCGTTGCACAACCCTGCCATGAATCCCATTTAAAGACCCTAGTAGAAATCCCATTGAGGTTTAAGACAATCACACCAAGACAGTTTGACCAGAGAGTCGCACAACAAACAACAGGGGACAATTTTCTGCTGTAAAGTGCATATTGTCTGCAATCAAGTGAAATATTTTTATTTACTTCACGAAGAATACACCTGAATCCTTCTCCTCAATCAGAATGGATATAAATCAAAAGGTTTTAGAAAAATTCTGCATTAGTCACAATGTAATGTACAGCTAGAGAATCATCCTACAACCAGGATTCAACAGGCTAAACAAGTTAAGGAAATGAGTGTAGTAACATTTAGCTACAGTATACAATGACAATGAGGATCCCCTAAAACTTAGTAATACCTTTTCAAAGCTGAAACGCTGCCTTCCGGGTGTGTTCTTCAGCAAACCAGCTCTGATAATGGTGTAGGGCACTCTTGATGCCATTAGTGCAGATTCATCTTGCTCTGCAAGTCTTCTTGCATTGCTATTCATCATTGCTTGAATCCCACTATTGCCTCTATAAACAGACAACTGCAACCTTATCACATATCAATAACAAAACAAGTTTTGGCAATGCTCACATGAGCAAGAGAGGAAAAATATACCTGAGATAATAGGATCACATGCTCCAATCCTTTCCAGCCCTCAATATTAGATACAAAACCATCCTACAGAAAAGCACATGATAGCCAAAATAAACAAGTCAAAGAAATAATTTGCTGAGACAACATAGTATCTAAATGGATACCAGGAGATAAATTTATTGAAAGTGAGAAAACAGCATCTCATAGAAAGCCTTCAGGAACCTTGCAATCAGGAGTTGATTACGAACAAAATGAATTTACACTACTCTTTCAAATACACTACATAAGTCACAGGACATGAAAGCAATATAATAGAGTTACTTTGAGAGCGTGAATATTTGTGTACTGTTAGTAGCACGTATGTAACTGACAAACTAAAAGACTTGACACTTGCCGAAATACTAGAACTTTATAAAGGAAACCAAGATAATTTGGATGAACCTACATTTGCACATATAACTGCACGAACACCCCTGAGAGCCTTCTTCACGGATGTGCTATCATTTGAAGCACCAGCAATTGACTTCAACAAAAGAGTAAATCAAACAAGAATCAGCAGTATTACTAAGGAATAGCAAGCAAAATACACATGTAATTGTTGTCCTGAAATCCTGAAAAAAGATAGCCGTGACAGTCCACCAACCTCAACATAAGTGCCAAAGGCTTCCATAGCAGCCCGCTTATCCTTCACTAGTGCTTTAACTCGAATTCGTTTGACAATCAGCGACAATATCACCATCTAGACAACATAAGGTTCATGAACTTTAACATATCTGCTCTAAGATGATTTGCCTTGTACCAAACCAGAAGACCACTTAAGCAGAAGCCACATGGAGAAACTATGAAGCTTGTTATCAGTTTTTCCCAATTACACATGTTACAGCAAACAACTGTCAGATTATGTCCAACACGGAGAAATACCAAGATAGTAGCACGAGAATCAAGGAAAGAGATTTAACTTAACCCACCTGGCCAATCTCACTATCTCCATCTGTTACTAAAACTGCATCCCTGACTTCTTCCTCCTCTATTTTCCAATAATATAATCAAATATTGACACTAAAATCAGGGGGGGGAAGTTTACCGAAAAAATGCTGTATCAAACTACCTGTAATTTCATCTAATTTTTCAGTGGATCCATCTTTTGGAAGGAGATCAGGAGCTCCATACCATCTCCTCAACTTTGGACCACCTGGAATGGACAGAGAGACACAGAATCATTACATCAAGAATGTAGGACTATCCGGTAAGATTGTTTCAGCTATAATTACGGACCAACTAGATACTTCCTATATTGTCTACCAACAGCAGTTTGGCATCCGAGACAATGTAGTCCGACAAATTGAAGCCTTAAGGCTGTGCAAACTAAGGGGGAAGGCTGTGCAACTAAGGGAGAGTTTTAACCACCAATCGCAGATGTTTTGACAAGGTAAGTGATCGGTGAGTTTAGGGAGACGATGGAAATATCCAAATTTAAGACGAACTCCCGGCAGTTTCAATTCATAATACAACAGTTGTTTGTAGATACCCAAGAATTTAAGAAAATTCCGATTAAAATTTTGTAAATTTTATACGGCACATTAGCCTTTAGTTAATTGAACAAAAGATGGGATGAAATACTTATTACACATGAAACACAGGAAAGCTTCATTGCAGCAAGTATCATATCCAGGTACTTTTTTTCCCCTCTTTTATAGCAAAAAAGTTGCAGTCTTTGCAGTATGAAGTCTTGTTCTTTATCCCATTAATCATAACTGTGAAAATTTCGCCATGTCAAGCTGCTCCGAGCTGAAACACGGTGCTAAAATTTCAACACGGCCCGATTGTTGTGATCAACAGTGTAATAAATCATCCAAAAACAGTGTTAAAAAGGGTAAAAGGACAAGGGTATCTTGCCTTCAATGTAATCAAGAATTTGGTCCATGAAGCCAAGTTTCTTCTTGGATGAGAAACAAGCAATGTGACCCTTTTCCTTGTCCATTCCTAGAAGAGGGGACCAATTGGTCTTCAATTTCCAAGCCCTGTTGCTGCAACACATGCATAGGGAGATCTGAAGAGGATAAAAGGGGAAGAGAATTGTGGAAGCTGAGCCCACCATTGCCATAGTGTTCAGAGGACCGAGGCTGGGGAGGACGAATGCTAACGGTGGTGGGGAGGCCAATGAGATTGGTTTCCCACCACACCTGCAAGAGCTATCAACTGAAGAAGAAAGCGCCCTTCAACTCAACGACTTTAAAAATTCGCGTTACCCCAACTTGGAAGAGCTGAAAGCATGGAAACATTTTTGTCATACATGCAGCGAACACATGACCGTGTATGAGCAGCTACCCTTGTATGAGCAGGGTTTGGTGTTAAAAGGTACGTCATCTTTGACTTACAATTAATTTTACTCTTATTAGTAAGGGCGAAATAATCATGATATAGTTATAATTGCAAACTTAAAACAGCTAGTGTGTTTGGATGGGAGATTATTTGAAATATCTTGAATTGTGTGAGATAAAAATGTTGTTGAGATCTATGATGCAAACAAACTAATTTTTGTGAAATGTTCGGGCATACGCTATTATCCATCCTGACTCAAAGATACAGTGAAATGTTGTTGGTTAGTTTGGTACTTAAAAGGGAAAATTTTACTTATGATTCAATTATGATCCAACAAAAGGAAAAAAAAATCCTTCAAGTTTATAATGCTACCTTTTTTGGGTTACAATGCCACTGTAGGTCGAGATTGTGAGAGGTTTTGTTGATTATTTAATTCAAAATTTCATTTGTAATTATGATACTAATTGTATTCCAAAGAAAAAATAAAACTTATATATATATATATTAACTTTTTATGCACTGATAATGTAATGATTTTTTTACACTAATAGTTATATATGTATGCTACATTTGCATGATTTGAATTCATGCTTCTGTTTGGAAGCTAGGTTTTTAAGCAAGTTTTTTACCTACTAGTTTTTTAACAACTTTTGCTACAGGGACTCCAAAAATCTTCTCTAAATTTTTTACCTATACACTTCAAAATACACAAAATATACAAAAAAAAAAATTTCCTTCCCTTTTTTTTCTTCTTCCCCCCCATCCCAACCCACCACCACCTCCGTCGCCGACCACCACCTCCGGCGCCGTTTCTTTTTTTTCTTTGCCTTTCTCCCTCTCCCCGCCATCTTCCCCTGCCATACTCTCCCTTTACCCAGTTTGTATGACCCCTTTCTTTTAAAAAAAATTCCCTTCCCCACTCCTCCCCCATCACCCTTCCCCTTCCCCTCTGGCCGATCCGGTAGCAAGGCTAGATCGCACCGGGGAGGGGGATTTTTCCACGCACCAGATTGCGGGGAGAGGGAGGAGAGGGGAAGGCTGAAAATTGCAAAAAAAAAGAAAAAAGAAAAAAAGTTGACTAGCTCGTGAAGGAGGTGCGCGTTGACTGCCGGGCGAGGGAAGAGGGAGGGGGAAGGGCAGAGGGGAGGAGAGGGGTGGCGGGAGATGGCATTAGAGGAGGTGCTGGTGGAGGAGCCGATAGTGGTGCTGGAGTTGGAGGTGGTGCAGGTAGTGGTGGTGGTGGAGCAGGCGGGAGAGTAGGAGGAGGGGCTGGTGGAGGCATTGGTGGTGGTGCCGGAGGTGGAGCAGGCTGCGTTGCTGCTGGGAGGTAGAGGTAAGTGGGAAGGGGGAGGGGGAAGGAAGAAGAAGATGAAGAAGAGAGGAAATAAAAGAAAAAGGAAAGAAAGAAAAAGAAAAAGAAAGAGAAAGAGAAAAAGAAAAAAAAAAGAAAAGGAAAAAAAAGTTTTTCACCTTACAAAAACTTTTATAAAAAAGTTTTTCACCTTACAAAAAACTTTTACAAAACTTTTTCAAAAACTTCTACAGTGCACTACAGTAAAGTTTTAGACAAACTCCCAAAAAACTCAGGTTCCACATATTATGTGGCAATGATTTAAATATGTCGCTTTGTGCGTGCATGTCTATACGCATACATATGGGTATAGAACAAAAAAGAGATTAAATACATACTTTATACAAGAGTATGTGTGAGAATGTGTTATATGTATGATCACTTTAGAAAATTCAATAAAAAATTTTCACTTAAAATTTGTTTACAATTTAAGCAGTGTTTAATATATTAAATGGTAAGACATTTCTACCATCATTATACCAAATTCAAAATATTTTGAATGAATTAATTTTTAGTTTCAAGCAGAATTATGAAACACATCCTGGAACTTACAAGAGACTGAGAGAGGTGCATAGTATTAACTAATTGCGAAGTAAAGAAATTCGAGCTTCTTTCGCGGTAATTGTTCGGCAACCTTGGTTGGGCTTTATGGGTGTCTGATATGAGACTGGCCCAAATTGGACTCACCAAAAAAGGTCCGATAAAAAAAGAAGAAAAAACAAATGCCAAAACCCTAGATCAACGAGGCACGTATATATGGCATAGATAGATAAGGGGTTTCTCTTTCTCATTGTTCTCTTTACTCGCTCAGGCGCAGCCTATAGACCAACAAAACTCTCTGAAGCGGCCCCGAATTCATCGAAAATGGCAACCCAAATGAGCAAGAAGCGAAAGGTTCTCATTCACTAACCATCTGTCGATCTCTATTTCGATCGATGCACTTATTTACTTATCCAACGATCTATTGATTTCTGTCGCTGTTTTTTGGATGTGAAAATATCTCAGTTTGTAGCTGATGGAGTGTTCTTCGCTGAATTGAATGAGGTTTTGACGAGAGAGCTAGCCGAGGATGGCTACTCTGGAGTTGAAGTTAGGGTTACTCCTATGCGTACTGAGATCATCATTAGGGCTACTCGCACCCAAAATGTTCTTGGTATATATTCATTGATTTCCCCTTCTTCATGTGTCCTGTACATGCATCCAGTCCGTTGGTGTATATTTTGGGATCTCTTGTCAGTAATTTCCTTTTTTTCACAAAACAATTGGATTTGCTGTTCTTTGAATGATATTATTGCATAATTTAGTTATTTTTTGTTGCGGAAGCAAAAGTTAGAAAATCATTTGTCACAAATTAATTTTGAGTTTTATACCGTAGGATTGCAATTTTCCAATTGAAACTTGGTGAAGGAAAACATTTCTTTGAAATTCTACTGGAATTATAGTTTTTGAATTTGATGTTGGATTTAACTATCCAACGGAACTGAAGGATTTTGGATTGAAACTTCTGCAGAAAACCATCTTTTAAAGTTTGTAGAGATATGATTGTTATATTTTGCAATTGAATATGCATAGAAAGTGAACATTTCAGTTGGAACTTGGGGCAAGATTTAAAGGTTCAGTCTTTCCTGATGGCAGGAGACTGATGATGCATATCTTTCCACCTGATTGATTACTTTCTCAGTTTTGCTGGTTAACATTTCCAGGTTGCAGTTATTTTTTTCAATTCTGCATCTGATCTCGGTGTGCATTTATTTAGGTGAGAAGGGGAGGAGAATTAGGGAGCTGACATCCATTGTTCAGAAAAGGTTCAAGTTCCCAGAGAACAGCGTGGAGCTTTATGCCGAGCGAGTTAATAACAGGGGTCTCTGTGCTGTGGCTCAGGCTGAGTCATTGCGCTATAAGCTTCTTGGAGGACTTGCTGTCCGCAGGTTTGCCTCTTTGATATATAGTTACTGTAGCATAGCTTGTTTCTTGTAAATCAGTCGCCAAACCTTCTTACGGTGGTCATGTTACTAAATCATCATTTTTTTTAATCGAGTTTTTGATTATTGCTCACCATCATTTGATTCCATCTGTTGCTTCTTTTGGTGTTGGGCTGATAATTGAGATTATCTGTTAGTAGCATTTTTTAGTCCTTTCAAAGCATCATGGAGTCGCTAGATATTGTGTAAGGTCAGTAGGCTACTTGATTTGTTCCATAGCTCTAGATATCATGTTCAATATCACAAGGCAGCTTGAGTTGTTCCATGACTCTGGGACACTGGGCTCCTAATCTACTTATCCACTCTTGGATCTAAAGGGCACGTTACCACTATTCAAGAATGAACCTATCTTGTCCCGTGACAACATGTGTAATTTTGAGATTACCTTAGTTTGGACGTGCTTATAGCATTGATTGTAATGCACTCTTTATTATACTACTGCTAAAGAGATCTTCAATCAATGCTTATATTGAAAGTGGAGTTTGGTTGGCCCCTTGACATGTTACTACGGATTGGGGTTTTTTTAAATTGACCAACATTAGAAATTGAAGCTTTGTTGTTTGCTTTCCATCACTTAAAATTATATTTTTGTTCCTTTGGCTCCTCGTTTCCTTTATTCTGATTATTAGCTAGTTGTTTTTGAATTTGATTATTTGAATGAACCGTTGATTTTATTTTTTAAGAGAGCATTGATTTAACTCTTAGAACTTCATTCACTTGTGTCAAAGGGCTTATCAATGTCAATGTCTAACTATTGGGTCAGTCTGGCCTTCAACTGTTTCACGCATTTTGGATTTACAAAGTGCTCCAGCATAATTATGTAATATCCTTGGGGTGTCTATTTCCCATATACTTGTTTGTTTCTCTGTTTTGGGTACTTGAAGCATAAGTTTGAGTCAACAATTGATCAACACTCTGACCATGAACAAGAAGCTGAACTCATTTGGTATTTTGTATAGGATTTTGCAGTTCTTTATGCTCCTTCAGCTCATTTTCTGGAATTCCATAAATGTTCCTTTTTTTTTGGGTCAAGGCTGTACCTGGCCATGTTCTACGTTATTTGTCCTTTATGATTTCTTGTAGTTCCTTTTTGTTTTCTTTCTTTTTTTTTTTTTGGAAAAGTTGCCCTATGTTGCATCTTGTAGGTTGTGTGGCCGCTTGTTTAGCATTGCTTTCATGTCCTCTTTCTCTTTCTCCTGAATGTGGGTTGAAGAGGCTTCCTTGCGAATGCTTAAAGTGAATATTTGGAGTTTGTCAGGCTCTTCAAACTGTTTTGTGTTAGTGGAGTTTGGAATATTCTCCGATATCATTTTCTTTAATGTTCTTAATAACTTATTGGATTTGAAGATGCTGGCTATGCAAACTTTTTCATGCTGTTCATTTTGTGTCCATTTACTTTCCCTTTGTATATTTTCCCAATTCATTGACTTTTTAGTTGAAGTGCTGTTCTAGTTTTCTCTGCATAGAACGTCATGCTAGTTGATGCAACCTGATTGATTCTCCTCTTGGCATTCTGCAGCTAGTGCTTTTCACTAAGACGACCTTACTTTGTATTTAAGAAAATGATATAGAAATGTCGGGGTGCTTCTTCAATGATTTATACAACTTAATTTGTTTCTGTGCATTATTTTTCTGAAAGAGTAAGA